ACAGACTGACACAGCATCTTCCAACAGACCTGATCTTTTTTAGCAGTAATATTTCCTCCACATGGCCGTCCCCCACCCCCTCGCTCCCTCCTCCACCACGTCATTAACACCTCACTGGGAATGACCGAATGTAATCACCCTCCTCTTTTATTGCAACGACACGGCTATCTACAATCCCATCTTATTAATTCTCCATTGGACTCAATGCATATAGCATCCATTTCTTGATTAATAAAAAAGAAATCAGCAGAAATGAAACAAAGCTTTGCTCCCTGTGCTGCCTACGATCGCTTTGACTGAATGCAGAACTTGCAGGGCAATTTAAGGCTACCCTGGTTTTCAAGTTTTTGTTTCTTTTTCTTTAATTTCTTTTTTTTAATTTCACCGGTCTGTCTGCTTTTCGGGGAGAGCACATTTATCAGATATTTGCCAATTGGACGCGGTGTTTTGAAAAATGATTTGCCGCTCACACAGGCCGAGGCCTAATGCTGAACATGTGGCGAGGCAGGATCTTGGCATATCATACTGCAGACAGTCGCTATGCCAGGAGAGCCCTTTCTGTGTTTACTGCCAAGGCAAAGATTTCACAAATGTACATACCGAGGCTAGCACACTGGCTTTGCCTTGACGTTAAAAAAACAATTGGAACAATAAACATATATATATTGGGATGTTTTCTTCAATTGATGTACAAGTAAAACCATTAGGAACCATCCAGACACAGTTGCACCAGTTTTTCATACAAGTTTGGCTGGAAAGTTTCTTATTTCCAGTCCAGCAGTTGAATAAAATGGGTTGCACCATTAAAACTTGTTACTATCCAATTAAGACCTGTTAGCCTTTTTCAACAGGAACTTCACAGATGTTTGTGATATACCTTTTAAAGTTTGCAGTATGTTGTTTTTCTTGTAAACACTTCACACACGAGGTAGCTGGAAGGGGTTTTTGCAGTTAAACTATATATCAGATGATGCCACAGCAGCAAGTGGAACAGACTGAAAAAATGAGGACATTCCACACCATTCTGTATAAACCCTAGAGATGCTTGGGTTGTAAAATCCCAGTAGATCAGCAGTTTTTGTGAATTCCTCAGCCTGCCTGGCACTAACAAGCATGTCACATTTGAAGACACTTATATCACATTTCTACCTCATTGTGATGCTCAGTTTGAACCAGCAGGTAACCGTGACTATGCCTAAATACATTAAGTGCTGGTTAGATTTTCCATTAAGGCCAAATAGGGCCATAAGTGAATTATTTGTTAATAATTAAGTAAGCTTAATTTCCTCATATTAAATTCTGACCGGAGGCATCGCCCCCTGCTGGCCACTGGAAAGATGCACTTGGTTTCACTCTTTTGGTTGGTTCTGTTACACAACAGCAATGCCTGGGAGTGTTTAGCTGTGAATGTAGTGTTTTATTCTATTTAGATTTTAAATGAAACCTAAATAAGAAGTAGTTTATTTGGTGCAACTCATTTTAAAGTGACTGCCTACAATAAACTAACAACAACAAGTTTGAGTGAATGAAAAGCTGATGCAGCCCCCAGCTTGTTATCACTTACTGAATCAGCGAGTTTTGTGTAACCATATGCATCTCTAAACCGATATGGGGTTTACCTTGCTGTTTTTTGGGTCTCTATTATGCTGCCTTTTCTTTTACTTTTCTTTTTTGTTCCTTTGGTTTGGTTTTCTTGTAGTGGACTGTCTGTGTGTTAGTAGTTGTAGTAGTAGTCATAGTGTACTGGTCTTTCAGTTTGTGACACACAGTTTTAATGCCTGGCATAGTGTCTCGTGTTTATTTTATTTCTCTCCTTTTTTGGGAATGAGGATTGCTCTCTCACTCTCCTCCTCTCTCTCACTCTCTCTCCTTCTCTCTCTCTCTCGCTCTCTCTCTCGCTCTCCTCCCTCCATCCTTTGGTGCTCTGTTTCTCAACCCACCACATACAGTGAGATTTTTCAGGAGAATGGTCACCAAAACTGATTGCTTTTTTTGAATGATGCACCTTGGTATATATATATATATGTTTTATTTTAAAGAGTAACTGTTTTTAGTTTGTTTTTTTTCTGTGTGTGTGTTGCTCATGTAAAAATTTCTCCCTTGTTCTCGTTTTTCTTCACTCCATCTTTTCGTTCTCCTGTTTATTTCGTACATGGACTGGCTCTGTCTCTTTACTTCTCACTTTTGCATCCCGTACTCTTAACCTCCATCCTTGTCTCGTAGGTGTTTGGTGTGGGAGTGCTGCGATTGTTTTGATTGGTCTCTATGCTGCATCCGACGCTTGCTGATTGGCTGAAATTTTCCTTTTTTAAAATGTTTATTTTTTTATTTTTTTATTTTGTTCATTCTTTTCTTTTTTTAGTTTGTTACTCACTCTTGGTCATGTGATGCGCCCGTATTTGGCTGCGTGTAATTTCTGTGTTATATGATTATTAATTTTGTCGAACAAATGTTTTTTACCCCACTCTTTCTCCCCCTCTCTTTTGAATTTTATTTTTAAAACTATTTTCTTTTTAGGTACGTAAACCCCACAAGTTTGGTTTCATATGGAAATGTGACTTTGTTTTTGTCTGGTTTTACTGTCCGGGTCCGACTGGGAGGGCAAAAGTGGGCTGAGAAAGGATGAATGTTTGGTTAATCATTAACACTTAAGATTTGCCTTCCGTATTGGTCTCTGCTGATTTGCATGTGTTTCTGCCGATCGTTTACCCAGTTTCATTAATTGCGCATGACACAAACCACACAAACACACACACAAAATAGCTATATATTTAGATTTCTCATGCAGTGTCATGCACATAATGGAAAAACGAAGATTTGTCTGCCCTATTGGATGTGATACAACCAATATTTGTATTCCCCGCCTGATTTGGCTGTGCTTCCTTTATGTTTCAGATGCAAACACCTTGTGATTGCTTTGGTTGCTAAGAGATTGATGCATTTCTCGGCGGGTTTTCATGGTTGTCTGCAAATGCTGGCTAACCACCAGCTACGTGGTAGTTAAACTTGAAAAAGTGCTAATCGGAAATGGCAAAGTTTTTGCCTTCATGCAGCAACAAACACATTTCAAAAGGTGTTCAAAACGTTTTGAACTGGGAAATGCTCATTTGTCTCCTGTGAGTTGTGGCTGTGAGACGGTTGTGGATCTAACTCTAGGCCTTATTGGCCTGATCCTACACTGCCAACGTGATTGTCACATGTCCAAAATGGCAGACAAGTTAACGTCACATGGTTAGAGGTCACATTTCTTGCAAAACCTCAGTAAACAAATAGATTATTAGAGTAGCTTAAATGTTCCGTTGCTACAGGGTAAAGGCCTTTGCGCACAGCATATCCATCCAAATATATTGTGCTAGATATCTTTTAGACTCGTCTATTCATAATTGAAACGTTCACACCGACTGCGTGATTTCACTGGATGAATTTGAAGCATTTTTCTAACAGTGACCAATCAGATCACTGTATTTGGCAAAAAGTGCACTGTAGGTCAAAAAGCACACTGATACTGAATTATACATATAGTAAAAAGTTTTATGTCGCTTTTTTTTGCAGTGCGCTCGCTATATAATGGCCTTAAGTGTAGTGTTACCTTCAAGCTTAAAGCCTCTGGGAAATTTTCCCTCTTGTAACACAAACGTTTGCATAAATTTGATTCATTGACTAAACTGAGATTTCAGAATGTTTCCACTCAGACACCAGCACACAGTTGTGTGAGAGAGGTAGCCGGGCCCGGCTAATTGAATCATTTGCCACTGACCTTGTCATTTGCAATGAGGGAAAAATGAGGTAAACCTCATTTCCATTTGAATGAAGTTCTGCAGATAAAGAACATGACTCACTGAGAGGGGCGATGCGAAAGGCAGCCTTAATGGTCTTATAAATTGGAGTGAAGCGTGCATGCGCACACAAGCACTCTCATTCCTCAAGCTCTCTCGCTCTCTCTCTCTCTCACACACACAAGCAGAGGCTCTTCGCTGGGCAAAAGGTCATTAATCTTTAGCTTGCCACACAGTCAAATGTGTAACTTCAACAGCACACTTGGACAGTATGGGTTATTACAGGGAGCTACAATCTCCCTCTCTTAAAGCCCATCAAAGGAAGATGAGGATAGATCAAGGGACCGGAGTAGAAGCCTTTGAAGCTCAGAGAGGAGATTATCAGCCGTCTTGGATTGAAAGGCCGGAGCATTAGTCTGAAATGTCAGCGAGCATGCACAGAACACGCACGCCCCTTTAAAAAAAAAAAAAGAAGAAGAAGAAGAAAAAGCCACAGTACTTGCCAAAAAATAAGTACAGCTCAGTTTCCTTTGCTGTATCCCCACCCCTGTTTATGCGCACATCAACAATACAACCAGTGTCACCAGTGGCACTCCTTGTATCTGTTCATAGCGAATCACTAAATCTCTACTGGGCAACCTGCTTTTTATTGCATGATGACTAAAAAGTCCCCTAACAATCTCCATCCAGTTATACACACAGACATACACGTGCTACATAAACAAGAGTCAGCAGCCTCGTCGCTGATGAAATGCAGCAGCACTCACTTTTATTTTCCAGCCTGTGATGTTGTGTTTCATTATTCTGCAGAGGCAGATTTCTCTATAATGTGCACAATATTTAACATGTGGTGCCAGCAGAAGAAAATATTGTTTGACCTTCAAGGGTGCATTTTGATGATAATTATTATTATAATAAAGAAATGTGGCAGACTAGGAAAGGCTGATTGGGGGAAGAAGATAAGCTACAATGTTGGCACAACTAAATTGCTTAACCATAATCCCAAATGATACCGCTATTTCCTTTTTAATAACAAAGTCAGCCACACGATGAGCAGAGACTATTATAATAACTCAACACAGCAGCAGGCTTTTTCAATCTACTGTACAAAACACCACGCATATCAGCCCTGGCCTTGAGATTTACATTTCAGACTATGTGCTACTTTTCCTCTGCTGAGCTGTTGTGTCTGTGCCTCTGACTGTTGGCTCCTCCATCCCCCAGGTGAATAACGCCACCGCCAGAGTGATGACTAACAAGAAGATGGTCAGCCCTTATCCTAATGGAGAAGCTCTCAGCACACTACCCTATGGTAACACACACTGTGATGTGCACAAACAATGAACCCAAGCCTGTCTAAAAATACAAACATAGGTACATGCGGAGAATAGTTTATAGCTTCGCAGTCCTTTAAGTTCATTTCCAGCTCTGCGTTCTTATTCTTCTTATTCTTATTCTGGTTTTTAGTCCATTTGAATCAGACTCTGGCACAGTTTTCTTACTTGTTGCGGGGTCGTTTGAGCAGATGCGAACAAATTGGCACTCGGGTGTAGACCAAAACAACTGCACCGAGACGCATCAGAGGTGGTGGTCCGTATGGTTTGTTTACAGTGTGAAAGCGAGCTGAACCAGCAACCTGCAAGTTTGAGTGATAGCGAGGTATGCTTTGCATTCTGGGATGCAGCAGCTACCATCAATGCACAGAGTGTACAAACGGTCATTGCGAGCTAGCAACAAGCTGTAAAATGAATCCATATTCCCCACGTTTACTTTTGTTTCTCCTGCCTCAGACACACCTGATAATCTGACTGAACGTGGTTTGTAGTGATGCATTTTTTGTAAAAGAAACCAAACTAAAGGGAAAAGCTACAAACTCATTAACTGATTCAGATCAAACTAAACAAACTGCAGGTGTGAAAACACTCGGAGCTCTGCGTCATTCACAGTTCACAAAAGAAACTTTAATAATCAAAATGTATTTTATAATCGGTTCTGGTGCGGTCGGTCAGTTCATCCAAAAAAACGAATAACACAAGAATTGTATTCTTTATGTTTTGATTGGTTGCCGTTGCAAACAGGAGGTTTGAATAGCAGCTTCTTCTCATAGATTTACCAGCAACTGATCTTTATAGCAAGCAACTGATGACAGCAGTAAAAGGGAATATCAGAACATATCCACAGTACACCATATGTAATATACTGGATAAACCATTTTTGCTGTAGAAACAGATGGGGTACTGTTATCATACCGTAAGTGCTTCTACAAGGACGCTGAGGGGTAGCACTATGCATGCGACAGGCATTAACACTTTAAAGACGGCTCCTGTTTATCATTTGCTCTTTCCCTTCTCTGTGTGACTATTAGCAGGGTGGAAGTTGAGTCCTGTGGTGGGAGCTATGTATGGACCAGAGATCTACGCAGGTAAGGCCCATCTCTGTCTCTTCAAGCCACACACAAAATGGTCTGTCTGGCTGTAGAGTGACAGCCCCACTTTACATTTTAGTCACACTGTGATTGTTAATCTGTATTAATGCACTGCTCACCCAGCATTCTTCCTCACTGACAGTTTTATTGATACAGTCCTCTGTGTTATAGTTGGAATGTTCCTCTGCCTTTCTTTCAATTTATTCCGAGTGTCACTTTGTTTTATATACTGTCATTCCATTTCCTACCTGGGTTGTCATCTTTGCTCCTTTAATCCTCTCCTGTCCTCTTTATCTGCTTCCTCGCCTACAGTTCCAGGGTTTCCCTACCCTACAGCAGCAGCAGCAGCCACAACAGCGGCAGCGGCATTTCGCGGTGCCCACCTCCGGGGCCGAGGCCGGCCCGTCTACAGTGCTGTGCGGGCCGCTGTGCCGCAGCCTGCCATCCCTGCCTATCCTGGGTGAGGATAACCTGCCTCTTTATAAACAAGAGCTGTTGCTGTTGAAGCTCATTCTGGATATAGAAAAAAAAATCAGGATCTGTTTTGTTTAGTGCTTCGGTAAATCCGCCGAGCATCACCTCATGAGTCATTTTCCAAATTCTGTTTGACCAGGTCTCTGCTTAACACAGCTGTGCTCATTCACTCCTCATGCTCAAACATTATCCACACTTCACTCTCTTCAGCAGTCCAACTGGCACATTGTCAGTCCGTTTACAAGCTATTCAGTGGAGTGTGACACACTGATGGGATTGCACCATTGAAGCCTCATTTGAATAAACACATAGATCCTACCGTCAGCAGATTTGCATAAACACACACGGACCACATGCAGACATTATACAGCAGCAGTCACCTTGCGCACAGATTTGCTTTAGATTATTCACGTTTACCATGATTTGCTTTTGCGTTTTTTGTTCCCTCGGTGTGTGTGCACTGTGCATGTTGTTGCTGTGCTGCGATGATTGGCTAATGAGGGTTGCGACTGCGATCGTATTCAGTTCAAAGCCAAATTGACCGGTGGCTTGTCTGTACATGACATTTAAATAAAGCGAAACGAGATGAAATTGTGCGTGGGGTGGGTGAGGGATGCAGGAAATACCTTCTCCATACGTGCTCCACTGAAAACTACACCTCCCAGACATCGTTCCTCATAAAACGATCTATTCAAAATGGCCTTTATTGGCCAGATTTTCTACTAGCTGGGGAGCAATAGCCGTTTATGGTCTCATTTCAGTTCAATAACCTTTATGTATTAGCCCCACGAGTGTATTGTTTAATGTTTTTGAGATGCAGTTGTGGAGCTTAAATGGAACTTGTATTTCCTCTGCATGCTGCATGGGTGTGAAATAACTACTTTTCTCTCTCTCTCTCCCTCTTTCTTCCTTTTTCTCCCTCTCTCTACCTGATCCCTCTTTTTCTCTATTTTGCTGTGTTGTGACCTCCATCCACCCTGGGTTTCTGGGACCGTGCACCACTCTGTTCGCACTGCACCCTCCACTTCCTGCTCTTCTTCCGCTCTGTCCCCCCCTCTCTCTCTCTCCCCCCCTCCCATGTTCTCCTCCTCCTCTCAGCGTGGTGTATCAGGATGGGTTTTACGGAGCCGCAGACTTATATGTAAGTAAATTCACCTCCAACCGACACACCATCTCTGTCCCTCCCCTCACGGCTTTCTCCTGCTCTTTTTTTTTTCCTTCTTGGGGTGATTCTGCATGTGTGTCCGGTCATGCGCTGCACAGAGCTGCCTCCATAATGGTGAATGGTGAGAACTCTTTAGAAGCACGACATGCCACATACCTGCACAAGGTCCTTTGTCTTTTGTGCATGAGCGTTGTTTTTCGTCGACAAACGTGCTGGTTATCACACAACTGAGCACCAGCTGTGTTCATTTAAAAATGAAATAAAACTGAATAAATGACATCGTGTGATGGGATCCACAACACCACTACAAAGGCTGCTCTGTAGGCGGATGCGGCAGCGTGCGTCAGTGAATGAGTGTGTGCGTGCGTGTGTGCATCCAGGTTGACAACGGTTGTTTCTGTTCTCTCTATAGACTAGTGTTTCAGGACTCAGTCCTTAGTCCCAGATTGCCTCAGGTAGGGTCAACTCAACACCAAACCCTGAGTGTGCATTGTTTTACTGTACTACCTCCTCTGATCTTATGAATCATCTTCTGATCTGATCTGGAACATGTTGTCTTTTAGTTGTTTTAAAAATTACCGCTGCTTTGAATTTTGCTTTATTCTTTTACTAACTCACTGATTTTTCTTTTTTGTTCTTGCTTTTCCAGTTGTGGGAAAGAGCTTTGTTTTTGTTTTGTTTTTTAACTAAAAGTACTAAATTGTATGGAGTGCTTTTCTTCCTGCTCAAAAGAGAACCTGGTCTCTTTTGTCTGGTTGGCTAGTTTTGGTGGAAAATGACATCTGCTCTTATTTTGTTCTCGTGTTGGAAAAGATGGCAGTATGCATACAGTTGTAAAAGTTCTGGTCAAATGTTTGCATTCACTTGTCAGACACACTTATATCACTGCAGTTTGGGCTCCTTAATTATTTCTACAGCTGCTCTTTATTTGAGACGGCAGGAAATCGACTTTTTATGTCACTTGAAAAACAAGTGAGGGTTTTTTTAATGTTCTTTTTTAGATCCCTCAGTAGATACAAGGACAACTCAGACTGGTCAAAAATAAGCTACAAAAGCTGACTGTATTTTTAGTAAGTATCAGTGGCCTACAGTCATGTAGAAAAGAGAAGTTTTCACTCGGTGCAGTCCTGTGAAGAAATCCGCCAACTTAGCAATAACTGGATCGTTTTCTGTTTGCCCTTAGCTGTTTACTGAGATCAGGCTCTCACATCGTCGTGGAGGAATTTTGGCCTGTTTTTCTTCACAACGTTGCTTTTATTCGTCTAGATTTGCAGGCGTTTTGCTCATACTTCTTTTTTTCAGCCATTCTGCTGATTTGCTCCTTTTCCTGCTGAGTGACTCTGTGACTCCACGGTGCAAAGAAACCCAATTCACAAAACGTGGTGCTGTGGATTATGGCCAAAAATCTATATGGAGACAAAGTTTACAAACGTGCACAAATGAGTGATTTGTGTTTAACTGTTGAGGACTCACAAGCACGTTTCAATCCACACACAAATACAAAGCAATCTAACTGGGATGTAACACTGTTTCACAAATGCATAGACCCAAACTTTGAATCAAATGATTGGCATGAGGGCCTGTGCAGACTCATCCATGGATAATTTACATCGCAACACACAAACTACACGTGCGCCCAGAAGCATAACAGGTATAACTTCTCGGCCAGCGGCTTATAATCCAGGCTTTAATGGAAGCATAACACTGAACATTTCACAGCACTGCATAGAGTCCAGTAAACAACGCTGCTTTTCACATGACTGTACAGTACAGGTTAACCTCATGAGACTGACTCGTGCTATTTTGAAACCAGAGGTAAGGGATGAGGCGTGCACTGAGCATGCTCATATGGTAGCAATGTCCCTTTTTATTTATTGTTTATTTTAATCTACTGAGGCCTCTAATTTACTCAGTGAAAATCATGCTGAATCTAGTGATTCAGATCATAACTCAGCAGGAAGTGGTTTGCTGAGATTTCCCCCTCCACATCACCACCAAGCAGACATCTGGTTGTCCTGTGCTTCTGTTTTTTGACCTGTCATCACTCGTTTTTTTAAGAAAGTTTGACCTAAAATGCAAATAAGAGTGCAATGATTTGTAAATGATTTAAAAGGAAACGGAGAAATGTAGTTTGAAAAGTTTGTAGTTTTGAATTTTAGGCAAGAAACTTTTCTGTTTTGTTTTGGAGCAGGTACAACAAGTGATTGGAAAAATTGTGTGACGCTAGAAAACCAACTAAAGGAATATCTCACAGCTAACGAGGTAGATTAGTGGCTTAGTAAGTACAGCATCTGTCGAGTAATTACTCAGTATATGGTGCAAAATGTAGTTTAAAGCATACTCGGAGTTTGACGTGGCCCACTAAGCCACTAATTATGGTTCATAGTACATCCCTCTGGTGCTAAACTGACCTCCCTGCAGTCCAGACACAAAACAGTTTTTTTTTTTTTTTACAGGACAAGGTGATGCAGCATGGTGCAACATTCCCCAGTTTCAGTATTTCATGTTTTGTATCGAAAATAAGCCGTAAATGATTTACAAATCATTGTATTTTGCACCTTTTCCATAAGGCGGTGAATGCAGATACTCTAGTGCTACTTTGTTTCAGAAATGTTGTTTTAATATATGCTTTCACATAATCAGGTTTATTTAAACTTGGCTGCAGAAATAATTGCCCCAGTACTGCTTTAATATACCATAGATGTCTTTTGCAAGTATATCTAAACCTTTGACTGTACTGCGTTTTCCAAAAACTAAAACACAAACTATATTTCCAATTGGATGCCACCATATTATTATTATCAGATTATCATAAACTCGAAGTCCCTTGTGTTGTAAACTTTTTGTTTCTAAATCTGAGGCTGTGATTTTACAGCAGTGTCCCGTGAACGTTAGTCAGTGCCCTGAAAGCCTTCTGCCCAGAGGGGGCTCAAGCTGAAATGGAGAACATGGTCTCTTCCTGAATTAACTGCACACCCCCAGGATGATTATTGAAGCATGTGCTGATCAGCTGCTGCATGCCGGCGTGCTGTTTTACTGCTCCTTCTTTCCCTCCACTTACCCAGAAAGCCTTGCTCTCTCCCACTAATAAACATTTTGTACCCCACCTGCCTCCCTCTGGTCCGTGTCTCGTAGCCATCGCTGAGAATGCTGGGATGTTTCTGTTGTGCTTGGATATTCTCCATTCTGATCAGGTCCAAATGCAGTGGGATTGTTTTGTTTCTTTTTATTTGTTTTTCTTTTTTTAAGGAGGTCTGGATTGTAATTTTGGGTCATGCATGCAGTCTCAGTGCAAGGAGATGATTTTAGTGTCAGTCTAGGCTTGTGTGGGTGTGTCAGTGTGTGTGACCTTTTTGTTTCCTTCTTTTTTTCAGTCTTTCTCTCTGTTGTCTTTGTTCTAAATCCATGCAAAAGAAACACTTCTAATAACAAATATTGTTTTTGTCATAAGCAAATACTCTCCATCACCACTGGAAATGCAACACTAGCATCCGTTAGTGTCCTTAGAGCTGTAGGAGTCCTCTTGATGTATCTGTTCATTACTTTAATCTTCCCAAGACACTGAGGTTTCTATACGGCCTCAGATGTGTGCGCATTTTGTCTTCCACTACTTGTTTTTTTTTTACCTCCCCCTCTCCCGTAGCGGTAATAATACAATCTAACTCGACTTCGACAGTCCAATTTCCTCTCCCTGTCTCACTGATAAAACATTTCCTCCATCACGCCCCACCACCTCCTCCTTTTCCCCCTATGCATATGCAATATACTGACACAAACTGTATGTTTATCGTAGACGATAAGAAAGTAATTGTGCTCTGAATACACAGAAGAAAGTATTCGTAACTTCTGAACCAAATGTCAGTTTGTTGCATCTCTCCCGCCCCTCCTCCTTGACACACGGTAGCTCAGGTATCTTCCTCCTCAGAGGCGTGCGAGTTAGCTCTGCTGTATGTGTCTCTCTCAGGGAGGCTACCCGGCTGCTGCTGCAGCCGCCGCCGCCGCTTATCGCTACGCCCAGCCTGCGGCTGTAACCGGGGCAACCGCTGCAGCTGCTGCCTACAGTGACAGGTGAGGTCAAGGCAGGACACAAACATACACGTAGACACGCTAAACTGTACGGCAGAGCTCCCGAGGTGAAGCGTTAATATTCTGAAAGGCTCTGATCCTTCATTGTGTTTTAGGGGCTTTTTTATTTATTTTTTATTTTTTGAGTAAGAGAGAAAACTTTTAATCGAGTTCGGGGATTTAAGGTTCACTTATGTTGGATAACAGTTTGATAAGATAACAGTAAGAGTTGTATGTAATCTTGTATCTGAGGGTTTTTGTCATTGGGACGCAGTGGGGGGAGCATTTGCACTTTCAAGCCAATGTTTGCACAATGTGTGGCTCCTTATGTGCGCAGGAGAGCCAGAAAAGATGAAAGAGGGGAAAGAATAAAATGTTGACATGAAGAATTATCATTTGACTGTACTAGGACTTTCCCCTCATCCGCTTTTCATTCATTTAATTTTATTAGAGTTAATCGAATTCTGCAGGCTGGTTAATGTCAGGCAGCGCACAGGTATTGCATGGCAGGACGCTGATTTGCATTAGCTGACGTGCTGTTGGCCTATGCGAAGCTTTTAACTGGATAGAAATAAAATATATTTTAAAGTGTGTGATGGATTAATGCTGCTGTTTCCTGGGTTGTAGCACAATGAGGAAATAACTTCGATATATGACTGAAAATGGGCTCTTCTACAGATGCTCATCAACCAGTTTTATTTTTGTGCGTAAAAAAAGTAATCGTCCACTTCTGTTTGTGCTGAAGCAACTGCAAAAGATGCATTTATTCTTTCTGTGGATTTTAAACCTGCGTTTAAGTTTCAAAATTAGGCCGCTTGCTAGGGTTCAAAGGGAGACTAGAAAGGAAGCTCTCCAAAACAGGACAACAGCAAAGTTCATAGTTGCCAGACTTATTTTGACCTTGTTAAGTAATCTCTTGTGTTTTTGTTCCCAGTTATGGCCGGGTGTACACTACAGATCCATACCACGCTTTAGCTCCGGCGGCTGCTGCTTACGGCGTGGGAGCCATGGTGAGTAAACGGACACAAGCTCTACAACATAAGTAGAACAGTAGGGAGGGAATAATGGAATAAGTGGGTGTGCGACACATTATGTTCAGTTTAGTTCAGTTTTGTTTATGTAGCACAAGCTCATAACAATCTATTGATGAGGTGACTGTTGGAACGAAGAACTCCCTGTTTAAAGGAAGTGGAGGGAGCGTGAAGTCAGTCAGCCAGCAGTCTGAGCCTATAGCAGTATGACCCTGATGGTTCAGGGTCACCTGATCCACCATGGCTGAAAGTTTGAAGACTAATCTAAACAAGAGTCTACCAACTCCAAAATAGGAGCTGGTTCAGCAGCAGAGGGGCCTGAAAGCTGAAGCTTTGCCTCAAATTCTACTTTTAGAAACTCTAGAAACACCAAGTTAGCCTGCAGCATGAAGGTCATGTGGTGTACTGGGAAAATGTGATAGTATATGGCGTTATTTTTGTGCCACTATTCTGAGCGCACGTAAAAAAAAGTTTGCAGGTGCAAGTGTTGCATTTTGAGGAGAAAATTATTTTGAGCGAAGAAAAGCTGAATTTGAGTGAACAAAATTCATTGCAGCGTGCAAAAAATGTATTTCAGTGTTTGCTATTACACACACACACACACACACACACACACACTAGCAGCTCCTCTCGCTCAGTTTTTGTATTTGCACTCGCTCGCAATGTGTTGCTCGCGCTCTCAACATTTCTGCCTGTGCGCGCTCAACTCTTTCTGAACACTGTTATATTTGTGCCACAAAAACCAGCCAATCACTGACTTGGATGCAAAAATATCTGATTGGCTGTTCTGGTCTCCAATCAGCTCGAAATGACGAAATGCAATATCCCAGAATGCATTTCATCCAAAGCTCAAACGAGGCAGTGGCGGAGGAACGCAAAGTGGCGGAGTTTGAAATATTACTCTTTCTGGGTCACAAAATAACCTTTAAAGATGTTTTCATGTGAGAATGTTGCTGTGTAAACTTCTAATATCTGCTCGATTTATCGAGACATCACATATTTGCAAAAGTGCTCTAAACGTTTTCAGAGATGTCTGAGTTTTGGACGAAATACAATAAATTTCTCCTCAAAATGCAACACTTGCACCTGCAAACTTTTTTTTTTTTTACGTGCGCTCAGAATAGTGGCACAAAAATAACGCCATAATAGTATGATGTCTTTAAAATAAGATGGGTCCTGACTGTTAAAGACTTTGTGTGTCAGGAGAAGGACAAATATTATGTGCCTTTTCTTGTCACTGCAGTGTTTTGGATCAACTGAAGGGTTTTGGATAAGATAACGAAGTTATCACGATGCAGTGATTCTGAGATATTTGACAAACATCTGTGTAAGTGAACAAGAAAAACTCTTGGGGGAAAAATGAGGAGTTAGATATTTAATCTGTACGTTGTGGCGTCATTGTGGACTTTTCTTTTTAATAAAAATTTTGCAATTCAATTTATTAGCTATTCCACTTTGTGAGTTTGATAAAAGCCTCCATGAGGAAGCTAGAATCAGGGACTCTGAGGTGTGATTGGTTGGGAGAATCATCAGCTGTATTTTTTAAATAAAATATTTTGATATTTGAAACCAGCTATAAAATGTGTTGCCCCCCCATCAAGACCATAAATGGGTTTTATTTTTAAAGAGAGCATCAAAATGTGTAAGTGTTGACAGTGACATATTGTAGTTTTGATGATAGCATTGTGGGTTTTTTTTTTTGACCGTGTTAATCATGAATTGAAAATCCTACGTCGTGACCTCACTCGACTTTTTTCTCGTCCATCTTTTTGCAAGATGTTGCGCCGCATTTATGTCACTGAATTTTTCTGAAGAACAAATAAATGGAGGCGTTTGCGGTCTTGGGTGAATTCTAGTTCAGTCAGTACGTTTCTTGTAAGCGGTGTAATTGCAGCTTTTTATAGATGCATTCAGCACTTTATTCTTCTTCTTAAATTATGTGTATATGTCTACTTTCATGACTCTGTTGTCCCTTCTGTGTCTTTCAGGCCAGTTTATACCGGGCTGGATACAGTAGGTTTGCTCCTTACTAAAACCACAAATCACATCCAAGGAATTTCACTTTGGTCCAAAACCCTTTTTCAGGCTCTTTGCTTGGCAGGAGCTCCCCTACATTTTTTTCTGCAGGCAGATTATAGCAACAACCCCTTTTATTATTTTCTTTTCCCTTTTTTTGTCTTGTGGCGAGAGAAGTCATTGCCACATCATCAACTGAAACTCAGTTCCTGTACTTTTGTGTCCGTCACTGACATGGAAACGATGACAAAAACCCCCAAAACAAAAAAACTGCCAGGAGTGTATCCCTTGTATAAAGAGCTGGAGCAACAGGACACAGTTTGGGATGCTTTTTTTGTTAGATTTGTTTTTGTTTTTTTAAGAAAAACACTACAGGACCTGGAAGGAGACAGACTGCTGTTGTTCCTATGACATCCTGCACACTACAAAATCTTTTTTTAAATTTTTTTGTCCCTAAAAATATCCAGACTTCCAGTTTATCCACTGCCCTGTCAGACCACACACACACTCTTACATTAAACACCAAGTATAGATTCCTCTACACTTTCCTTTAGTGTCAGACTTCACTAAATGATACTAGAAAAAGGTACTTCTGTTTTTAAACACTACGTTGACATAGAGCTGCTCCCCCCTACATCCTTCTGATGTTAGTATCATGTAATACTGAAAAAAAAAAGAAAAAGAATCAAACGCAGAGGATGTAGGAGCTATTCTTGTTTTTGCCACGCTGGAACATCCAACTTTCAGCTGGAGGAAACTTCTGACAGAAACCACTTTTTTGTTCTCTTAATAACTTCGAACTTATATGGCATGTCTTTTGGGGGGGGGGGGGTTCATTTTTCTAACGTTTAAAACGTCCTGGCCAAATGTAAAAGGAAACACAAAGAGACTGTTTAAAAAAGACAAGGAAAAAAAGGTCTTTTTTTTCTGCAGTACCTCGTTTGTTTTGCCTGCCGCAGACGTGTCATCATGTCGGAAAAAACAAACAAAAAACACCACGTGGCTCAGTGATTTTGAGTTTTTGTCCTTAATGCTCGCCTGCACATACTCCAGTCATTACTGCAAGTGCAACTCCAACATGGAGACATCACGACCGTCTTTTTAAAGGCCTCGTCCTCAAGTCTGCTTCTTCCAAA